CATTTTGATAAACAATGGCTGCTAAAATCCCCCATAAATTTTCAATGGGATTTAAATCTGAACTAAATGAAAGCCAGTCAATTACATCAATATTTTTTTTAACCAATTTTTTGTTGACATTGAGGCATGAACAGGTGCATTATCTCATTGAAACTGCCATTTATGACTCCAATTAATGCACCAAATGTAATCATATTTTGTCAACAAATACTAAATCATCCATCCCATTTACCTCCAAAGCTACCCCAAATCATTACAGACCCAGCCCCTTCTTGCCAGCTTACTTTAACTCTGCTTTCTCTTATTAAATCATGCCAATAATACAAAAACCCATCAGGGTCATCTAAATTAAACTTCTTCTCATCACTAAACATTATTTCTTGCCATTCATCAGTTCATTCCATCTTGACTTTAGCCCAGTTTAAATGCATTGATTTGTGTTTGGCAGTTAAAGGTGGTTTTCAACTTCATTTTTAAATATTTTAAATTGTCATTGTTTTTTAAAGTTCTCCAAACAGTCACATGAGATATATCTAATGGTAATTCAGCAGCAGCTAGCCTTGTTGACGTTTTTATTAGTTATAAACTTCAAAACTTCTCTCTCATTCCTGGAAGTTAAACATTTAGGCCATCCTGACTTCCTTTTTTTGCCCATAATTTTTATCTTGTTGGAAAACATTTTCAGTGCCATTGTTGAAAATGTTTATATAACATTCAATAAAACATTCAAAAAAGCCATCGTAACAGTTAAAAATGATGACATCTCACCCTAATCATGATAATTTTAATTATTATTATGATAGATTAATTTTTAAGAGACTTTTAAGTGGTGTTCTTATACTTTTGTAACAGACTGTAATAATAGAAATTGTTGTCTACATTAAGAAGTTAAAAACTATATATATGATTAAGACAAACAAAAGTATCTAGGATTTATTAGTTTTATTTTTTCACAAAAGAACATGATTTAAAACATTATATTTACTTAATAAAAATGTATTAGATCAGAGGAGTAATATTTATTCTGAGCTAATACAACCTATATGAAGTATACTATACTTTAGGTTGGGATTGAATTAATTTTTCTTGCCAAGGTACAGCTCCCTCATTACATAAATAATCTTTATAAATGTTCCTGAGACTTTTTGCCTCTTTATTGTACATATTGCTGCCCACTTTTTTAAGATTTTCAAGAGTTATATTTTCGGATCTCCATATACCTTCATTCTGATTATAATCAGAATCTTCATAATCAGCATATCCATTTGGGCAATATGCTGCAGATTTCTGAATAAGCATATTGTGGAGAACGCAACTAGCAAGCACCATGCATTTGACTGATTCATCATCATAATTTAATGGTCTCCTTAAAATACGAAATCGTGCTGCTAGAATACCAAAAGCATTCTCCACAACACGCCGGCCTCTGCTTAATCTGTAATTGTATATTTTTTCTGAATGACTAAACTCAGAATGTCTGGGATAGGGACGCAACAAATTATGCCTTAAAGGAAAGGCTTCATCCCCAATTATAAAATAAGGGAACAGTGTATTTGAATTTGGCAAAGCATCTGCTTTTGGAAAGGTTAACTTTCCATTGATCAGATGCTGACCAAATACGCTTTTTCTTAAAATTCCACCATCTGATTCGCTACCAAAATGCCCATAATCAATCATCAGGAAACGATAATGTGCATCAGATACGGCTAGTAAGACTGTACTAAAAGTTCCCTTATAGTTATAATTAAGACTACCAGTATTCTTTGGACACTCTCGAACCACATGTTTTCCATCAATACTACCACAGCAGTGAGGTAGTTGCCATCTTCTTTCAAAATCATCAGAAATTTTTTTCCAATCTGCTGGAGTTGATGGAAATGCCATATATTCTTTCCGGAAACATATCCAAATGGCTTTACACGTTTCCGGTATAATTTTCCGTACAGTTTGCCTTCCAATTCTAAATGAGAAGCTCAGACTTCGGTAGGTCTCTCCAGTTGCTAGAAACCTGTAAAATCGTTTGTTGTCAGAATATACACAGAAAAAATTAAGGTAATAATAATTTTAGTAAGCTACTGCAATAGGTTAAAATAAATATTTTAAAAAATTAACTATATCTCCTAAATGAAAAATATAAATATAAAAGCAGTGTTTGTGCTAGAAATCAATAACAGAACAATTATTATTAAATTTAAAGCAATTACAAGGGTATGTCACGTGGAAACTTTTGTGACTTTATTCTAAATGTTGGCAAATATCGGATTAAATAATAACAACGTATAGGCTATTTACAGTACCTTAAAGTTAAAGCCAATCTTTCATTCGATGATATACTTTTGCGCCAAAACGTGTCTTTTTTCTCTATCAAGGGAGAAACCATCTCCAATATATAATCGAACACATCAGGCGTCATCCGCATAAAACTGAATGGAATATTATTTTAATATTAATATATTTACACATACTATTCAACACATGATAAATATAATAGTTAAATTGCATATTTACTCGAAGTAAAATTCTTGATCCCGAAACCTCAACTCTCTAACGAGGGAAGAATTGATCCCATACTTTTCCCTGTCACGGAATATTTTCCTCATCCAGAAACGATGATTTCGGCGAGGTTTTGAATGAATCAACATTTTCAATGCTAACAAATGAAGAGAGAGCATGGCAAAATCCGTAGCGTCGTCCATGTTTGACTCTACGACAATTACTGAACTGATCAACAGATGGCGCATTTCGACGTAAAGTTCATTTCGGTGCTAGTGGAGTCAAGTTAAAACGAAAACATAACTGAACGAAAACTCTATATGTTTCAGTTCTGTTTCTGAGTTTCTGTTTTCAGGTAATGTGGAGTCCAGGCTTAAGTCTTCTTCCATCATCCACAATATCATAAGCCTCATCAACAGACGTAATAAAGACAAACTACAGATGCATCTTGTTTGGACCCCAGCTCATAAAGGGATAACCATAAATGAACAAGCGAACAAACTTGTTAAGAGTCAGCCGTACGACACCAAGAAAACCCATTATATTACTCCGGAGGATTACATCAGCATTATAAACACTGAAATGAAACAGCAAATGGACAACGAATGGTATAACTTTCCCAACCACACAGACTATCAATGGCTCATCACCGGCAGACACATCCCCGTCATGGACTATACGGATCGTTACACCACCATCCTGATACATCGCGCCAGGACTAATTCCCTCATCACTAACTCCTTCCTCCATAAACGTAACTTGAAAAATACTGATCGCTGCACCTTCTGCCTGACAGAGCAGGATACAACGATACATCGGTTGGATAACTGTCATCGATTTGAACCTGTTAGAAAAAAAATTCTAAACAATAACAATATCATTCGTCACAAAATCTTCAAGATAAGTGATTGCCTTAGATTCACACCCATCAGGATTTGTATACAAAGTATGATCACCTTTTTCACCGTTTACAAGCAGACCTATAATTACTGAGGAAATCATTACTTTTGCCATCTCTCACCACCACGGGGCGCAATAGTCTGTGTAACTCAAGCCCGACTACGATAATATGATGCGATACGATAGCATCAGCGTTGCTGTTTCTAGTACATTTGTACTTTTCGGGTACATTTTGCCCTTTCGAGTACATTGAAAGTACACTTAGATTTTCAGTACATTTGAGTACATTATAATATCTCAGTACCATTTATGGTACAAAATATTTAATGCCATACCGAAAAAATTAGTTTAATAAAATCTCACTAGTGCCACTGCTTGCTAATTTGATTTACCCAATAATCACAACATACACATGGTGTATGTCAGTCCACATCAACAACATGCAGACAGTTGCATGTGCAAATGTTATGACTCAGTGGTCCTCTTTCATACGTGTCATATTCTATGAGGATCTTGACAAAATTTTTCACACCATGTGGTCCAAACAATTCAACTCTGTCAAACAAAAATATTGGACAGATGAGGAATTCAATGATTTTAAACTTTTGTCATCAATAATATCAAAATAGCCATTAAGTCAGAGTCGAATTATTACACAAACGTTTTGAAATTGTACAGTACAAATAATATAAACACTTTTATATTATTTTCTACCACTATAATTGAATTCTTAATTATGAACTTCAATTTTAATAATCTTGGTAAAAGAAATAAGTTTTTTAAATTTGAATCTGTCCACATATATTTAATTTATAATTTTTTTATCCATCACTATAATATTTTTTAAAAAATCAACTTTTAATGCTGTATTTAACAAAAAACCATAGAAACTATTTTCATAAAATATTTAATTTTAAAGTATTCATATTTAACAAAGTATTCATGAATATGAATTTGAAATAAGCACAAAAATTGAGTATGATGGTATATTAATATTAAAAGTAACCAACCGTAGAAATACATTTTGAAGGAGCTTCAGTACGTTTTGAAATTTCATTGTGGCAACACTGCTCGGCATTCTTCTTCCTGAGAAACTCATTCCTGGACTTCGAAGTGACTCTTATTCTCGCGCTTACATCATCCATTTTATCTCAAACGGCAATGTGTCCGATAAAACACACCTGGTGGCAGGACTCTACCCAAAATAGTACGTAATAAATCTTTACGGCCCCCGAACCCCACGGAAAGATTGTAGTATTATGCTATTTTTTAAATAGCAGCAACGAGTGACAACAAAATTTTGTAATGTTTTTCAATAGAAAATATCAAATCATTCTATGTTTTGAAGCTAATTGATATTTATATTTTATGTGGCATCACCACTATGCCAAGAGTCAAAAAATACTTAGTCGACATATTTATCAGATAAGTCCGCAGTCCTGATGTCAAAGACCGATTTAGTTTTCAACATTACATACAATCGTCAGTGGAGGAATTGCCTGGGGAAGCAACTTTAATACAGTGCGATATAAATGCCGAGATAAAAAGGTTAAAATATCTATACATTTGTATACTATATATATACTATTTGCGGTTTATATTAGGTATACTATAGAAATTCGTAAAATTTTAACAGATGTAAAATTTTTAGAAATTTGAAACACTTTCTTCCTGTTATCTCTATTTACTGAGAAAAATATCACACAGCATAGATGTAAAACTAGCTAAGTTACGAAACTGCAATAAGGCCAAAGCAAAAAGCAGAAATCTAACCATTATATCACAATCAAAACATTTTTACTTTAAATTATGTGGTCAGAGATTTTCACCATTTCTCAAGAAACATGTTTTTGATATTAGTGCGTAATGTTGAGTTGAAGAAAAGATGTGCTTAAGTCAAGTCATAACATTTTAAGTAAGGACTGTTCATAGTTTGATTTCTGCTTCGTTTGCATTTAATTAATACATCAATTAATATATTTGATTTTTGTACATTTTCTAACATTTTTAAAAAATGTGTCAT